TGCAGGTTGGTTGCAGCAGCTGTCGGATGGCGAGTCTGGACGAATCTGCCGACAACAGCCACGATTGCGGTACACGGCGACCGACGCCCTGCACGTCTGCCACCTGGTGGTTTCCATCTTCTCCCGGGCAGGCGGTCACGTCCTTGCCGGTGCTGGCCTGGGCGTGTGCCGATCGGTGTCATTCATGGCCTTCTTGGCAGGGCCTCAATCCAGCACTGAGTCTGTAGTATCGCCTTGTTTGCTGGGAGTGGCATGGTTTCTTTTTTGCGCTCGAGGGATCACCCTATGGGCCTGTAGCGCGAATTGGAAGCAACACATTCCCCGCGTATGTCAGATCCTCGTCTTATTTTTGATGTTTGTCATTTGTGTTGTCGCATTCGACGGGCGGGTGGAAGCTTCCGCTGGGCTGGTATTCGCGGTGTGCGGTGGGCGTGCGGTGCTGGGCTGAGGTCCAACCCATAACCAACCAATACTCCAAACATTTTCAGAACTAATCAAACAATCGTCCCCTGATTTTTTCCCAACCATCCGGTGGTGTTGGGTTCACGTTTTGAAGAGACGGTCCCCGCGTTCCTCCTCCTCTTCCCCTCCTCCTCCCTCCTCCCTCTACCATGCGTTTCACCCACCCATAACAGCGCTTCGTGGCCGCATAGGGAGCCCCACCGAAGGTCCCAGTGCTACCGTCCGCATGCGTCCCGCACGCCCAATACAGCGCTTCGTGGCCCCATAGATAGCTCCACCGAAGGTCCCAGCTCTACTGTCCGCATGCGTCCCGCACACCCAGTACAGCGTTTCGTGGCCCCATAGGGAGCTCCTCCCTGCGTTTCACCCACACAGTACAGCGCTTCGTGGCCACATAGGGAGCCCCACCGAAGGTCCCCGTGCTACCGTCAGCATTCGTCCCGCACACCCAATACAGCGTTTCGTGGCCCTCCTCCCCCTCCTCCCTGCGTTTTACCCACCCAGTACAACGTTTCGTGGTCCCATACGGAGCCCCACCGAAGGTCCCAGTGCTACCGTCCGCATGCGTCCCGCACGCCCAATACAGCGCTTCGTGGCCCCATAAGGAGCTCCACCAAAGGTCCCAGCTCTACAATCCGCATGCGTCCCGCACACCCAGTACAGCGCTTCGTTGCCCCATAGGGAGCTCCACCGAAGGCCCCAGTGCCCCCGTCCGCATGCGTCCCGGAAGCCCAATTCGGCAGTTTCACCCACCCAGTGCAGCGTTTCGTGGCCTCATAAGGGGGCTCCACCCAAGGCCCCAATGTCACCGTCCGCATGCGTCCTGGAAATGTAATTTGGCATCATTTTCAGTCACTCAATAGAGCGCTTCGTCGCCCCATAGGGAGCTCCACCGAAGCTCTCAGTGGGACCGTCCGCATGCGTGCTGGAAACCCAATTCGGCACACCACCCACACAGTACAGCGTTTCGTGGCCACATAGGGAGCCCCACCGAAGGTCCCCGTGCTACCGTCAGCATGCGTCCCGCACACCCAATACAGCGTTTCGTGGCCCTCCTCCCCCTCCTCCCTGCGTTTTACCCACCCAGTACAACGTTTCGTGGCCCCATACGGAGCCCCACCGAAGGCCCCAGTGCTACCGTCCGCATGCGTCCCGCACGCCCAATACAGCGCTTCGTGGCCCCATAGGGAGCTCCACCAAAGGTCCCAGCTCTACAGTCCGCATGCGTCCCGCACACCCAGTACAGCGCTTCGTTGCCCCATAGGGAGCTCCACCGAAGGCCCCAATGCCCCCGTCCGCATGCGTCCCGGAAGCCCAATTTGGCAGTTTCACCCACCCAGTGCAGCGTTTCGTGGCCTCATAAGGGGGCTCCACCCAAGGCCCCAATGTCACCGTCCGCATGCGTCCTGGAAATGTAATTTGGCATCATTTTCAGTCACTCAATAGAGCGCTTCGTGGCCCCATAGGGAGCTCCACCGAAGCTCTCAGTGGGACCGTCCGCATGCGTGCTGGAAACCCAATTCGGCACACCACCCACACAGTCCAGCGTTTCGTGGCCACATAAGGAGCCCCACCGAAGGTCCCCGTGCTACCGTCAGCATGCGTCCCGCACACCCAATACAGCGGCTCGTGGCCCTCCTCCCCCTCCTCCCTGCGTTTTACCCACCCAGTATAACGTTTCGTGGCCCCATACGGAGCCCCACCGAAGGTCCCAGTGCTACCGTCCGCATGCGTCCCGCACGCCCAATACAGCGCTTCGTGGCCCCATAGGGAGCTCCACCAAAAGTCCCAGCTCTACAGTCCGCATGCGTCCCGCACACCCAGTACAGCGCTTCGTTGCCCCATAGGGAGCTCCACCGAAGGCCCCAGTGCCCCCGTCCGCATGCGTCCCGGAAGCCCAATTTGGCAGTTTCACCCACCCAGTGCAGCGTTTCGTGGCCCCATAGGGGGCTCCACCCAAGGCCCCAATGTCACCGTCCGCATGCGTCCTGGAAATGTAATTTGGCATCATTTTCAGTCACTCAATAGAGCGCTTCGTGGCCCCATAGGGAGCTCCACCGAAGCCCTCAGTGGGACCGTCCGCATGCTGGAAACCCAATTCGGCACACCACCCACACAGTCCAGCGTTCCCCCCCGCCCAGTGCAGCGCTTCGTGGCCCCATAGGGAGCGTCACCGAAGCAGATATTCACAACTACGGCACCCACAACTGCACATGGTTGAGACCTTCGCCAGGATAAGTTTTGACTATTTTTGAACATTCCCCCCGTAGAGGGACGTGCCCGACTTACTGCTGGGCGTGCCTGGTTTCGTTATACCGCACTGTGTTCGGTACATGCGGCGGTCACCCTCTACATGCGGCGTCCATTTCTATTCCTCGGGCGGCATCTCAGCGGGCAGGAGCGAGGGCCTCAAAGTGGTCATGCGAGTCGGGCAGGCACACTTCTCCCTGTGATCTGATTCAGACTTCGTCATTGATCCCATTCCCATTCCCATTTCTCCGCCTCCTCCTCGGTTCTTCTTAGAAACGAACTGGGCGCTTGTTGCTTGTTGCTTTTCGTGTTGCACCGTGAGCTCTTCCCAAGCTAAAGACGCAAAAACCAAGCGACGATAGTTTTGAGTTTCCAGTTATATATATATATATATATATATATATGTGTGTGTTTATATTTGCATGGTCAGACCGTCGCTGTGGATCATGATGTCTGTACCGTTTTTTTCATTTCTGGCCGACGGCTGTTCGTTGCCTTCCCCGAGGTCTGCACTCACACGTCTCGTTTCTGCCGCCGGTCTCCCCCGCAGGCAACAAACAAAAACACGAAGACACGCGAGCGCCGCTCCGACACGGGCCCGCAGCAGGCCCCCGAGGCCCGATGGCCCCAGGAGGGGCGGCCCTCGGGCCCGGAGGCCCGACGCCCCGGGAGCTCCGAGGACGGAGAGCGGTCTGACTGAAAGAGCCGAAGGGCGGAGGATTGCACGCCAGGCGAAGGAACTGAGGGCGTCGTAGACTGCAATGATTAGCAGTGCAACCGACTGATCTGAAAGCGCTGGAATTCGGAACTGAAAGTGGCACAGCGGATGACTCGCCTCTGTAAGCGCCTTTTACTTCTCTTGCCGAGACCAACCACGCTTCAAACACGATCTCCAACCCGCCGAATTTAAAACGGTAGAACACGCCCTGAGCAGATTAAGAAGAACCAAATCCTCCTCCTCCTCGTGCTCCTCCGCCTCCTCCGCCTCCTCCTCCTCCTCCTCCGCCTCCTCCTCCTCCTCCTCCTCCTCCTCCTCCTCCTCCTCCTCCCCCGTCTCCTCCGCCCGCCGCTTCCTCCTCCTCCTCCTCCTCCGCCAGCCGCCCGCACCATGTCACGTGGCAGGGTCATCAGCTCGTCGTTGTCGTTGTCGTCGTAGGCGTCGTCGGGGCCGCTGTCGTCCTTCTGGGGCGGCGGCACCGGCCGCATCGCCCTCATAACATGCACAAATCGGCTGTCTGAATCTACGCTATCAGCGAGTGGCTCTGGATCCACTCACCACTTCCCCCAGGAGTTGCACTGCTGGCTGGCATCCCCCTTCCCACGAGACCCCTTCGAACGGCGAACGCGTCCACTTCCACGCCCTGGCGGAATGGCTGCTCCAGCGCGACTCCATAGACACGCTTCGTGCGGAGGAACCTCCGCGCAGCGCCGCCCTGCACCCGTGGGGGCCGCGGCCCAGGGAGCCTGGACCGCCATGCAGTGGGTCTGCAGACGTTCGGCGCCGACGACCTCCCTCTTGCCTCAGATACTCGCTCTGGGGATACAGTGGAGGCCAGTCCACAACAAACCTCCCCCAGGAGACCCAGCCACGAATCCCCACGACGCCCATGGATTTCTGGTGTGGGAATGCCACGTTTTCCACAGCAAACCCATCGGCACCCAGGAAACGCAGGGCACTCTGGAGTCTGGAGGCAAGCAGGGTGTTTCTGGGCATGGGCCTCCACTGTAAGCCTGAAGCCACTCGCTTCACTCATGCGTCTGTGCTACGTCGAACGTCCGTCGGCTTGAGTGGAACCTGAGTCGAGCTTCTATCGAGCTAGTGTCGAACTATAGCAATCCGTCAAAAGGCCCCCAGGAAGGCTGCCAAAACGATCATCTGAGGTGTTGATTTTGGTCTGCGACGGGTGGTGTCCAACAATTGGTCGGGCTGATGGCGGGACACGTCTGAAGCCAATTACGGCTAAAACAAACGAGTAGCAAGAAGGAAGGAGGAAACGGCCGCAAGCCATGAAAATCGTCAAACGGCGCTGGTGGGGAAACCAAAAGGTACCGATACCGCTACTTCCCAAACCTCTCCCAGGGTGCGTTCTGACCAGGATTTCGAAGCGAATCCAGCGGTGGCGACGACGGCCTCCAAGGAGGCCCAAAAAAGGGAACACGGGCGAAGGGTGGAGGTATGGGCCATTGGTACCAGTTCCTCCTCTGAGCTGGAGGTCAGGCATGACTACCTGACACACCATCCTTGGAAAAAGGGGGGAAGCAAACACCGAAAGACTCCGCGCACTCGCCTGGCTGGGCCCCCCAGAGGTGTGCTTCGTCCAACCGGGCTGGTCGTGGAGGAGCCGTGCGTCCGTGGACCCGCGCTGGAAGAGGACCTCCTGCGCCCGGAGCACCTCCGCGCTCAGCCTGGACTCGCAAGGGGTGCCGCCGACTCGGCCCGACGAGCGAAGAACCGCCCGCCGAAGATGAAAACGAAAACGTGATTACGTTGTTTCGAGCGATCCTCCCCAGGACCGCGAGGCGGGATCCTCAGCCCGGACTCGCACTGGGGTGCCACCGACTCCGCCCGCCGAACCCAAAACCGTCCGCCGAGAATGATACAAAAGTGGTTACTGGAGCACGGACCGACCGTCCCTGCATTCCTATAGGCCTACCACAACATGTTCTTAGAACCCAAACGTATTTCAATAACAAAAACCTGTTCTCATAACATAAACCCGATGTGTTAAAACAAGACAGACTCAACCAGACAGGTTATAAGAACATTTCGTGCAACCCCCAAAATATTATTAAAACAGTCTTGGGCGATCCTATAGTCCAGCCAGGACGTTTCGCCACTGCTCCGATTTCGTTTCTTCGCGCAATCCCCACCCAGGATTAGGTCGGGCATGTCCTCCTACAGGCGGATGTTGTAAGAATAGTAAACATGCGAACAAAAACACATACAGTCAGGAATAACACATTGTATCCAAACTCTTGTTTGACCACATTTGGATATTCCTCCTGTGCAAAGACACGCCCGACAAAAACCCAGGACCGCATGGCGTCATCCCCGGAGAGCACCGGGCACACTTTGGGCCTGGCCGGCGCCCCCCTCGCCGAAGGCACGGCAGGAGAGATACTCGGCGGGCACCGACACACTTTGGTCGGGGAAACGTAAGACGCGGGTGCGGGGGACTCGGGTTGGCCTGACGGGGCCATCATAAAAATGACGAAACCCATCTGAAATTTGGCGCGACCTCCCGCTGCAGACATCCCACGGAAACTGGACCGTCAAAATCCAAGACGCGCTCGTCAACAAACGTCGGCGAACCCGAGTTTGGGCTCATTCGAATAATAGTATGTTTTCCCAATGTGCGAGGTATGCAAAAAGTGCAAGGCGGATGTGGGGCTCGTTTTTGCGGGTCGACACACGCCCGCAACCTGTCGCACGCCTAAGCCAGGGCGAGGATAAACATCGGGGGAGGATAGCTCGAGGATCTCTGAGGTCCGGCGGCTCCAGAAGATGTCTCGTGCGCCGCGGCCTTCCAAAGCGTTCTGGAACGCTCCTTCTCAAAGCGTTGCGGAACGCTCTGGGAGCGTTCCAGGACGCTTTGAAACGGATTTCCCTCGTCCTAAACCCGTCGAGTGTCACATGCGGAAGAAGCCCCCCCGGGTCACAGCCCCGTAAACCCGGACGCGCTAGACCCGGACACCCAACCCAACACCCCTCGAAACCAGTATTCCCACACGGCGGCACAAACACAATACTGCACTGCAGCAGTTCCAGAATAAGCCAGGACACAGGCCCTGAAAGCCTGCAGGACCCCCCATAGAACCTAGACGCACACCCGAATCCTGCAATGCAGCAAACAAGAAACGCACGGGCGCTGGAAAATGTGACTTTGCAGGAAAGAGGCTCGCTTCTTTGACTGTCCGTGTCCTGGTTAATCGGGAACGCAAGCCCAGGTCAGTCAGGCCTTGCAAGATCCTACCAAATCCTGCACACGAGCCCGGGTCAATCAGGCCTTGCAAGATCCTTCAAAATCATTCCCCTCATGCCGCCTCTTCGGTGCACCCCGCTTTCCCTGGTAAAAAATACGGTGTTGTGCCCATGCGGCCGGAATCCCTTGCAACAAATACGGTTTCCCATGAATTCGGCCCGAATCCCTTGCGAGTTATGGTGGCGTCAACACGGGAGCAACGCTTTGCCAGGGTTGCGCGAGCAGCCCACCGACAAAAGAGAGGCGGGGGGTGGCGTCTCTCATGACCCCTCCAGTAATGCGCAAAACTGCGCATCACATCGCCAATGCGTCGGCAACCTGCTGTGGGGAGCTACCCACTGGTCGCGTCGATCCCATGCCGCATCGCCGCTGCATCGGGTTGGGGCGCTGCGCAAGAACTGCGCACTGACGTCCTTGACGCGTTGAGTTCTGTATGTGATGGGTTTTGGGTGGGTGGGATACGTCCAGCGGGCTTCGAATAGAGGCTAGTGGAAGGCTAGTGGACACTAGCCCTAAACCCCACCCAGTAAATCCAAAACTTAACCCTGGCGCTCACCTGTTCAATATCTCCTGGCGCTCTGTCGGAGACATCCGCAACAAATCGACCCTCCATTCTTCCTCCCCCATCGTGCTGCATCCGTCCCCCTCTCTCCTCTCCTCCTCCTCCTTCCCCTCCTCCTCCTCCTCCTCCTGCTCCTCCTCCTCCTCCTCATCGTCACCCCGTCTTCAACCAGGATGATAAGGCCACGTACAATGCCCCCTGCCGAGTTGCATTGGCCCCGAGGCCATACGGGGTGGAAGCGCACGCAAAAAGGCAGTCATTGACATCTGGGGCGGGAATAACCAACGGAGAATCCTGCATTCTCCTCCCTCCAGCTACCTCCTCCTCCGCCTCCTCCTCCGCCTTCTCCGCCTCCCTCCACCTCCTCCTCCTCCGCCGCCTCCTCCTCCTCCTCCCCCTCCTCCTCCTTCCTCCTCCTCCTCCTCCTCCTCCTCCTCCTCCTCCTCCTCCCTTCTTCCTCGTACTTGTCCTCCACATGCTTTCTTCTTCTGAGTATTCGCATTTCTCTTCTTATGATTATTCGCATTTCTGGTATTATCATTATTATCATCAGTATTACTATGATTATTATAATTATCCTTCTCCTCCTCCTCCTCCTCCCTTCCTCCTCCTCCTCCTCCTTCTTCTCGTCGCCGTCCTCCTCCTCATCTCCTCCTCCTCCTCCTCCTCTCCCTCCTCCTCCTCCTCCTCCTCCTCCTCCTCCTCCTCCTCCTCCTCATCATCCTTGTCACCCCGCTTCCATCCAGCATGACAAGGCCACGTCCTGCTGGACAATGCCCCCTGCCGGGTTGCATTGGCCCCGAGGCCATACGGGGTGGAAGCGCACGCAAAAAGGCAGTCATTGACATCTGGGGCGGGAATAACCAACGGAGAATCCTGCATTCTCCTCCCTCCAGCTACCTCCTCCTCCTCCTCCTCTCTCCTCCTCCTCCTCCTCCTCCTCCTCCTCCTCCCTCCTCCTCCTCCTCCGCCTTATCCGCCCCCTCTCCCTCCTCCTCCGCCGCCGCCTCCTCCTCCGCCTCCACCTCCTCCTCCTCCTCCTCCCTTCCTCCTCCTCCTCCTCCACATGTTTATTTGTCTTATTATTCTTATTATTATTATTATTATTATTAGTATTCTTCTTCTTCTTAGTATTATTATTCTTCTTCGTCTTCTTATTATTAGTCTTCTTATTATTATTCGCATTCCTCTTACTAGCATTGTTCTCCTTATGATTAATAGTAGTGGTATTCCTCTTCTGCTTCTTCTCCTCCTCCTCCTCCTCCTCCTCCTCCTCCTTCTCCTCCTCCTCCTCCTCCTCCTCCTCCTCCTCCTCTTCCTCTCCCTCTCCATCTCCTCATCCCCCCCCCCCCCTCGCGCACTGAAAGCCCGAGCCTGGACTCGTTCAAGCTCCCCGGGTGGCAGACCGGCCGGCTGGCCAGCTCGTACGCCGCGCGCCACTGGGACAGCGGCCTCGGGGAAGGCAGGCCCCCCTGCCCCTGAACCAAAATCACCACCATCGACGTCGAAATCATCAGCATCGTCATAATCGCCAACACCTACACCACCATCATCATCGACATCATCACCACCACCATCGTCCATGTCGTCCTCCCTCTCGTCGTCGTCGGCGCCATCGCCACCATTGCCATCATCAGCATTGTCAACAACACCGTAAGAAACGAGCGTCGAAGATCGAGCAGAGTCAGGCCGAGCACAGCCGAGCAGATGCGCGTGCTCTCAGCACAGGGCGTGAGGCACCCCTGTCACTGCACCGACCTTGCAGACGTGCTGCAACGGATTTTTGCGTGGATTTCTGTCAGTGCAGAACCCCGAAATGGTTAGCGCAAAACGAAGCGAACTGCACGTGGATGATTTACGATGTCTTCCTTCCTGGACCCAAAGAAATCCGCGCGACATTCACTCCGACATCCGGAGCGCAATTCTCCAGGACACTCCGGGCCCATCCTTCTTTCTCCGGAAGAATCGGGGATGGACAGACCTCCCTTTAGTAAAACGTGGTTTAGTGAAAACAACCTGAGGCCCAAACCTTGGCGGGCGCAAGCCCGGAAAATAACGGCCGCGGCGCCCTCTCGAGAACCGAAAACGGACAATTCACTAATCGACGTGTCACTGTTGGGGGTTCTGTCCGCCCCCGAAAGAAGTCCGCTCTGCGATGTTGACGCCAGGACCCCGGCCCTCCCTCGCCCACGCCCCTGCCGCGGGGCGGGGACTTCTGTCCCGGGCCACCGCCCGGCGGCTCGAGCTCCAGGGGGCCTCGGCGTGCGGCGGCTGTCGGTCTCTTTGGGCCCCCCACGGGGCCCAAAACGCACATCCACCGTCCGCCGCGGCCTCCTTCAACTCGATCGCCCTGGCGGCAGGGCTGGACCTAAACGTTGTTGTTGGTTTGGGTTTTCGTTTTCTTATTCGTTATGCTTTACCTGTTTTCCTGTCCCCCCTGCCAAGACAAACAACAAAGCACAACCGAAGTCCGGCAAAAGAGCGTTTAGGTCCAGCTCTGCCAGGCGGCGATGGGGAAATGCCCGTCAACGCCTTCGCCCTCCCTCCTTTCCGTCTACGCGCTGCTGGCACGGTGGGCCTCTGCAGGATCGTCCCGCGCCCCACGGCGAAATTGTTGCGCGGGTGCACGCGCACGGTGTAGACAGCTCCGTCCTCAAGGAAGGAACGGGCCAGCGGACGAGCAATGAAGACGAAATAATTACCCAAGCGAAAAACCCAAACAATGCATGTGAGTGTTGTATGGATTGTGCGATAGCAAAAGAGGGGGCTCCCTGTGGGGCCAGTGCCGAAAGAGGCGTGACGGTGGACGGTGCCTCTGCGGCCTTCGGTGGAGCGCCCTGTGGGGCCACGACACGTGAGATGGGACATGCCGACACGGATGTGACGCCCACGTGTGGGCGGTGCCACTAGGCCGCTGGGGTCTTCGGTGGGGCCGAATATGGGGCCGCGAGGCGTGACAGGCGTGTGCCAAAACGGGCGTTGCCCCCACATGAGGACCGATCCTGTGGGGGGTCCGGCGGAGCTTCCCATGGGGCCACGGAGCGTGCGATGGCTGTTCCGACATGGATGGAAAACCGCATGTGGAACCCTCCTCCTGGGTGTTTCGGTGGAGCTCACTGGGAGGCCACAGTATAGGACGAGAGCAATCTAGTGACACAGGTTCCCGAGATTCCAGGATCAGCCTTCACGCGGAATACACTTTGCGTCGCATATTGTCTACTCTGGCTGGCGCCGCTGGTCGGGCACCCATTCGCAATCGAGTGGTCGCCCCGTCGCGTTGCCGAACGCAGGGGGGACGGTGACGCACCGTCCCATCGCCCGCCGCTGCGCACCGCGCGCCTTGGCGGATTTCCAAAGACCTGGAAAGGCAAATCACGCGCGACTCTGGACAATTCTCCGATACATAAATTTGAAAAATCCGGGAACGTGTTCAAACATGGCCGGCCTACTGTCCAAAGGAGTACCAAGATCGATTTTGAAAAATTCCCGGGGTCGAATTCCAAGGATTCGGGAATCCATTTTGAAAAACTCCGGATTTCAGGAATTCTCAGATGTCCTGAGCGGCGGGCGCATTCCACTCCTCAAGAATGCTTTGTTGAAAATTGGGCTCCTTTTTGAAAAACTCCGGAACCGCTTGCGCCAAAAAGCGGAAGCGTTTTCTGAAACATTCTACAATCAAGAAAAAACGGAAGCTTTTCCTGAAACATTCTACAATCAAGAAATAATTTCCAGGCGGTCCGACGGGCATGGCCGGCAGATTCACGCACCGCGCCGCGCGCGATTGGGCGCCGCGCGTTGCGCCTGCGAACAGCACTCGAAAGGGGCACCTCGAAAACAGCGCCACGGCAGCTGCGATTCGCGGACTCCCCAAGAGCAACACAGCATGCAGCTTGGAATCTCCGAGGGCGCTCCGATGCGCGAAAAATGCACCGCGCACATCACGCAAAGAACCTGCGCGACGGAAGGCGCTCGACCATTCGTCCCTAGAGCCTGCGCGGAAGAACAAGAACACCTGAAAATTCTGAAACCTGTCAACATCAATACTTCATCCTCCTCTGACAATAGGTATCAAGGCTGTGCAGTAATGGGCGGGGAACCGCATGCGAACCCACTCTCAGGGGGCTTCGGTTCAGCTCCTCATGGGGCCACGAAGCGTCTGAGCAGATGTGATAAAACAAAACAAGTGTGGTTGAGCGAAACTCCGAACAGGTTTCTTCTCTTTTATAACATTTGGTATCACACTTGCTTTTTTTATCGCACTTGTTTTTTTATCACATTTGTGTGGGTAGAGAAATGCGTGCGACGCCCCCTCCTGGGGGCTTCGGTGGAGCTCCCTGTGGGGCCACGACCGGTACGAGGGTTGTGCCAACATGTATGGAGCATCGTATGCGACACCTCCCTTCTGGGGGCTTGGGTGGAGCTCTCTGTTGGGCCACGAGGCGTGCGAAGGGTGTGCTGAACTGAGCGGTGGAACCGCATGCGAAGGCCCCCGCCGGGGGGGTTCCGTGGAGCCTATGGGGCAACGAAGAGGGTGCGAACTGTGCCGACATCGGTGGATAACTCCATGTGAACCCTCATCCTGGGAGCTTCGATGGAGCTCCCTGTGGGGCCACGAATCGTGTGAGGGGGGTGCCGAAATGGGTGGAGAAACGGATGCGAAACCCGCCTCCTGAAACCTTCGGTGGGGCCCCCCTATGGGGCCACAAATCGTATGAGAGGCAGGGATGGACGGAGGGGAGAAGGGAGGAAGAGGAGGGGCAGGAGGATAAGGAGGAGGATAAGGAGGAGCAGGAGGAGGAAGAAGAGGAGGAGGAGGAGGACGAGGAGGAGGAGGACGCGGGGCGCTCTTCAATACGAGGACCCCACACTACAAAATGGTTTCGATAAACTATTCCGCCATCGGGGACGCCTGCCCCAGGGCGGCTTGACAAGCCCACCAGCCCTCTGGACGATGGTGGTTTAACAATGCGCCTCCTCTCTGCCAAAGCTCCCTTTTTCCCTGTTCGGGGGAGGGGTTTATCACTGTTCCCAATTAGTGCATATATATATATAGATAGATAGATATACATATATATATATATATATACATATGTATATATGTATATATATGTATATTTGTGTGTATATATCATATCATATATATATATATATATATTATAGTATATGTATGTACACACCGCCTCCCCCAGGCGGCCGGCAGCCGACCAGGAACACTGAGGACACCGTGACGGCAACCCCCAACAATCCCCGTCCAAAAAAACTATGCAAAGTACATTTTTGGGCAAAGTCTGGAGTCATGTTCGTGAGGCCCGCGAGCACTTTGTCTCGTCTCTTGACAGCGGCGGCGGGGGTGTCAGTATATTGCCGGCTGCGCGCAGGACTTCCACACCTGACACAAAAAACAATACACGTGCACCTTGCGGCTAAATCTGATTATGCGCGGCCACCCAACAATCACTGTCAAGTGGTGTTGTACGGCATGCTGTGCGCAGGCCCGCTAGACACAATGATGGGCACTGGCTTTCAACATGAATGGTGAGGGCCGACATGCTTCCTGATGTTCGCTGTCACGTCCGCAGGCGCACCTGACGCATTCTGCGCGTGCCCCGAACGTGGCGCACCTTGCGCGGCTGGAGTACGCGGCACACCTGGCACACGCGGAGGCACGTGGCGCACCTGGCGCACCAGGCGTGCCTGGCACGCTCAGGCCCCAGGGGTGCCTGGCGCGTGTGGCGCGCCTGGTACGCGTGGCACACCTCGCCCCAGCGTCGTGCACGTGGGCTCGCTTTTGGTTCCCAGGAGCTGCCCATCAAAAGACGACCGCTGGACAAGCTGAGGCTCGGGTGCTGCTTATGTGTTGGGAGTGTCGCACCGTCTCGAGGGATGCTGGCTCGAGCAAAGCCAGCTCGTCGCCATGCCTCTCCTCTTCTGTATCGGCGTCCCCGTCGTGGCCGAGAGCGAGCAGGTTTGCCCATGAGCACTACAAGGGGGCCAAGCTGACCCCGTCCGTCTCGGAGTGCACTGCCTTACCCTCTCCCTAATTGACGAGAGCCTCCAGACAATCTTGAGACATCGCGGGCGGGCTGAGCTGAGACCTCCCCTTGGCAACGAATGGCTACGGCCCCTCTGGCCGTACTGGGCACCTCTTCGTTTGTCTTGGGCTTCGGGGCCGTATTGGCGGCGTCTTGAAGCGTCCTGGAGTCCTCTGGGAGCATCTTAGCCCTCTTGAGGCCCTCCTGTGGTTATCTCAAGGTCGTTTTGGGACCTCCCTGGGGCGTTAGCGGGCCATCTTGAAGGTCTCGGCGGGCCTTCTCAGGGCATAGAGGAGCCCCTTGAGACCCCATTGAAGTCTCTGAGCGGCCTCGGCCTTCCGAGACTGATTCAAAGACCACAATAGAATCCAGCATCTTGTGGTCATCCCGGCGCACCCTTGCGCGCTTGGGCAATGTTGGAAGGATTATGGGGATCCGGGGCGAGAACGGGACGAAACAGTCTTCCAGCCAGTTTACGCCTAAGAGTTGAACGCCATGGGCCCATAAGCCCAATGGATGTTGAACACACTTTCTTAACCCATGGGTCCCCTTGCAGCCTCCTTGAGGCCGCTTGGGGGGGTTGGAGGAGGCATCTCAATACCTCGCGGGCAATCTTGCACTTGTCTGGAAATTCGATGTGTACATCTTGACGAATTCTTGGCCCGTCTTGGAGAGCACCAGGGCATGTCTGGAGAGGCCGAGAACTGGCAAAAGAACTCCCAAAGAAGGGGCTGGCGAAAACGGGACCCAGAACCTGCTCCGGTTTGGAACACTGGACATATCTAAGGCACGACTAATGTCCATATTTCTCGGCGTCAATCGAGTGAATACGTGAAACATGCATTCTTGAAGTCGCCCGATCAAAAATCGCATTTTTTAAAAGGTCGACAATAGACGCGTGTATACATATACACATACTAATATTATCGCGCGCGCTTCGCGCGCGCTCAGGTTCTAGCCCAGGCCGGGGGGCGCTGGACGATCTTGCACAACGCTATCAAGCACAGGCGCGTGGCATAGTCGTGCCTCCAGACTGCCTCTTGGGAACCTCGTGGGTCTTCGTGGGGGCATCTGCAGGGCTTCTGGGGGGTTCTCCAAGCTTTTTTTGGCCGTTGGAGGCCCCTCTTGGGTGCTTCTTGGGAGAGCGTCTTGGGGCTTCTTGGCGGTCCACTGGGGGCATTGTCGGGGTTCTCTGGGCAATCGGAAGGTGATGCTCTGCAATCTGAAGCCGTCATTGGCCGTCTTGGCTGCGTGGAGGCCCAACTTGAGGCCACCCGGGGCCACATTGAGGCAATCCAGAGGCCTTTCGGGGGCCCCCTGGAGGCAATTTTTCATGCATCGAGGGCACTGTTGGGCTATCTTGGGGCCCCTTGTACGTCTCCTGGGAGCCTTCTGGGGTCGCACCACTTCGGGCCTCTTAGGGCCTCGGCCTCTTGGGCGGAAGGCTCTTCTGTTGGGCTCGCGTTCCCCTTCTTGGGCCTGCCTTGGGCTCGTCTTGGGGCCCTCTCGGGCCGTCTTGGGCGCCTCTGGCGCCATCTTGGGGCCCTCTTCGGCTGCCTTGTGACCGTCTTCGAGGTCTATGGGGCTGCCTTGGAGCGGACTTGGGGGCATATGGGGCCGTCATGGAGCGTCAGGGTGTCAAAAGGCTGAAAATTCTAAAATACGTGGTGCTTATTCGGGCCTTCTTGGGAGGCCTCCTGGACCTCTTCGGCCATCTTGGGAGCTTCTTGAAGGCCTCGTGGATCCTTTTGGGGGCCTCTTGGGGCTTCCTGGAAGCCTCTCGGGTTGGACGGATCGGATTTTCGGTTCGTGTTGCCCCTCTTGGGCCCCTCTTGAGGCCGTCTTGAGGCCCTCTCGAGCCGTCTTGGGCGCCTCAGGTACCGTCTTGGGGCCTTCGTGGGCCGTCTTGAGGCCCTGTTGGAATCTCCTGGGCTATCTTGGAGCGGCCTTGGAGGCCTCTTGGGCCGTGTTGGAGCGTCGGCATGCTCAATGGCTGAAACCTCAAAACTCAATCAACAGCCTGTGGAAAGACACTGGTTTTGGCCTCTAGGGGCCTTCGTGAAGGCCTCTTGGAACCTCTTCGGCCCCGTGGGAAGTCTCTTGTGGCCTTTTAGGGCCTGGTGGGGGCCTCTCGAGGCCTCATGAGAGCCTCTCGGGGTGGAAAGCTCGGATTTGTGGCCCCTCTTGAGGCCGTCTTGGGGCCCTCTCGGGCCGTCTTGGGCGCCTCAGGCGCCGTCCTGGGGCCTTCTTGGGCTGTCTTGTGGCCGTCTTCGAAGCCTCTGGGACTGTCTTGAAGCGGACATTCGAGGTCTCTTGGGCCGTCGTGGAGCGTCGGGAAACTGAAAATGCGAGAACAAGAAAATCCTTCACCAGCCAAAGGAACATCTACGATGTTCGCCTTCTGGGGCTTCTTGGGCAGCATTTCTGGAAGCCCCTTGGGGCGTCTTGGCAGCGCCCTTCCTGGCGATCTAGAGGTGTCGTTTTTCTGAGCATTCCTGGCGCCCTTCCATTCTTGGAGGCGTCGCGTTCGCGGTCCGGAGGCGCCATTTCTGGCGATCCGGGGCCGTCTTGGGGCGATAAGAAAAGGGCGCCCCAGCAGGGCCCCTGGGGCCCCCGGTCCTCCGATGCGGTGCCGAGGGCCCCGACCTGGGCACCCCCGCCTCATGCCCAGGGATATGTATATATATATATATGTATATATACATGTATATATACACATATACATAGGTGTATATCAATAGATACATATATAAGTGTATATATAAGCATAGACATAGACATCTATGTGTGTATACATACATACATACATACATACATACACACAAATATATATACACACATATATATATATATTCACCGCCTGCCAAGAGCCCGAAGATCGATCCCCCAGGTGGTGGCCATCGATGGACCCCCGCCTCGGAAAATTCCAGTTGACAAAACCCCTTCGAGGTCCTCGACCCCGCCCAGGTGGAAGATGGCGGCCAGGTCCCGCCAGCACTGATCGACAGCCGCCCCCCACGGGTACTGCATCCAGTCGGAGGAGCTGCGGACGTGCTCGTCGCCGTCGAGGTCGTAGTAGGTTATGTTGCGGCAGATGCAGTCCTCAAACCCCTTCTCGGCGATGCGCCGATGAACTGCTGGGAGGTCATGGCAAGAACGATTCAACCTTTTTATCCCGATTGAACCATTCAATCGGGTTAGCCCTGATTGAGCCCAGGACTAAACCTGGTGAGGCCAAGGTACAAGGGATTCGGCGGAATCTGGCGGGACCATGCCGGATAAGGCCGTTTTTCGACCACAAGAATGCCAGCGCCGAAACTGAATTCGACCTCCCAGGAGTTGCATTCTGGGGGCAGGCCTTCCGAGAAGGCGGCGGGGCCTCCCAGAAGCTCCCCCGGCCCTCTGAGACGCCGACTGTGACTTCGAAGGAGGCTCGGGTTCTGCGTCGCTTAATGTAGGAACCCACGAAGGTCGTACGCGCCCAACCATGTACATGAACACGGCCCTTCGATCCGCGAGACCGGCCGCGTGATTGGAACATTGACGCAATGCGTGCTCTCGAAACCAGCGTGGATTCATGTACGTGTACGTCCTCTTTTCGCTACTTTGGCGCTGAATCCCCGGAGCTCGCCAAAGGCGGCGCCGGAGGCGCCGCCGGGGGGCCCCAGGCGCGGATCCAAGAAATCCGCGCGGAGCGCCAAAAGTTTCTGCTTGTGTGGTTTGTTCTTCTTCGCACTCGTGGGGGGGGGAGGAAGGTGTGCTTGTCGGGCCCTGGAGGCCCCCTTCTGGGGCCCTCTTGAGGGCCCCTTCAGTGGGCCCTCCAGGAGGGCACCTGCTCTGCAGCCCTCGCTGCCCCCCCATTTCGCCCCCACGGGGGCCTTCGCTGCCTCTTCGCTGCCTTCATTCAAGAAAGAATGAAACAAATCGTCCCCACTTTTTTCCTTTTACGATGTTTAAATCTTCCTCCTGTTCATGGACAGGCCCGACTCAACTCAAGGGGCCCTGAAGGGCTCCTTCAGGGGCCCGCGAGGCTTCTTTTCTGCAGCCTCGCGGCGCCCACGCAGAAAGCTTCTCAGAAGGCAGGATGCCTTCAGCCAAACCCCAGCGCGAAGAACATCCTTCCAAGAGCGTGAGACCCAGGGTGCACAAGAGCGTCCAATTATGAGCATCGTTAATCCGATCCCCATCCCCAGCGGCGTCGCCAGGGCCCCACTGGCCGACTTACCCCCCTCGATGGGGATACAGGTCGCTCCCTTTCGGGTTCCGGAGGGTACATCCCCAACCGGGGTGGCAATTTGGTGGGGGCCTCGACGGGGATGGGGAAGGGGATGGAGATCGGTCAAACGACACCGAAATCAACACGCACAACACGGGGGCACCCTCCCCGAGACGGCCTCGGTCTTATGCCCTCGGCCCGACAGCTCTGCGCCTCGTGTGCGACGGCCCGCCCCCCAGGGCGGCGCGCGCCGTGGACCTTCCAGCGGTAGTCGTCCTGTACGAAGATCATCAGCGCGGGGAGGTCGTGGTAGTGGTCCACGATGAACTTGAGGCCCGCGGCCGCGTCATGGCGCGGCGGATGCGCGCGATGCGCGTTCGTGCATGTGCGCGCGTGCGTGCGTGCCTGTGTGCGTGTGCGTGTGCGTGCGCGTGCGCGTGCGCGTGCGCGTGCGCGTGTGCGTGCGCGTGTGCGTGTGCGTGTGCGTGTGCGTGTGCGTGTGCGTGTGCGTGTGCGTGTGCGTGTGCGTGTGCGTGTGCGTGTGCGTGCGTGCGTGTGTGTGTGTGTGAGTGTGTGTGTCTGTGTGTGCGTGTGCGTGTGCGTGCGTGCGTATGTGTGCGTGCGTATGTATGTGTTGTGTGCGTGTGTGTGTTAAGATGAAGCCAAGACGACGCCAACATCGGGCGATGATAAATCGAGAATGTCTGCGACCCCGCGGCTCTGGAAGATATCTCGGGTGCCGCGGCCATCTCGGAGCGTCCGGGAACGCCCTGAGAGCGTTCCGGAACGCTCTTGAGCGAACGTATCCTCGTCCTAGCCCCGACCGATGTGTCTGAGTGTATTTGTGTGTGTGCGCATGTGTGTGCGTGTGTGTAGACTTATGTTGTTCGCATCGTAGGCTGGATCATCATAAGTGTAGACGTGTACCGTGGCCTCGTCCTCCCACCGCCCATCCCGCCCCCGGCATCCACGCCCGAACGGCTCATGGCGACGGCGGCTACGGGACCCTTCTAGACGCGCGCGCGCGATTGCTGCTCCACGTTCTCCGCCCTGTCGCTGCGAGCAGGGCCGCGGCGCCAACAAAGCGGGTTTGCGTGTGTGTGCTCCTGCACCTGCCTGTCCTGCCTGCCCTGTTCCCTCCTGTACGCTCCAACGCACGGCGTTAAGCGACAACTCCTGGAAAGTCTTCGTGGGACCGACTGCAAGCGATTGCGGCCCGACTGATGGGTCACTGGGACGGCCTGTCCCAAAGTAAGCCCGGGACTTAAACCAATTTAGGCTGGACTGAGCGGGACCAAACGGAATGATGCTGCAAGATTGCACCAGATCTGGCCGGGTTTCGACCACGGATGCACCAGCGCCGATGCTGAGCATGACCTCCCAGAAGTACTGTCCTAACGGTCCTACACACGATGGTCGGCATAATCCTGAGACGAAGGCAGGAAGAAAACAAATTCACGTGAGGACAAATCTGGGGTTAGGTCGGGCATGTCATCCTACAAACGGAATTTTGGCGGGAAAATGCAAAATAGCTGTTTTTCTTTCAGAACAAAAAAGCATAATCAGACATAGTAAAAAAACCCGTCCCCAGACTTCTGTACTATTTTTGAATATTCCTCCTGTAGAGGGACCCGCCCGACTTCATCATCAGGCGAAGGCAGGAAGACAACAAATCCACACGAAGATAAATCTAGGGGCACCGCGGCCTCTCCACAACGCTCCAAGCGATCTGAGAGCGCTCCGGAGGGCCAATTATGGGCCGATGCATCCTCGTCGTAGGCCTGCCTGAGATTCACGGTGAGTGCTACTTCAGATTTCGTAATAGAAAGGAGGGGGTCACAACCCTCCCAGACGAGAAATTTTAGAGCCCCCCAGGCCATCATAATCTTTTTAGGGCTATAGGGTTATTGGACTATGAGGGTATGGGGTTATAGGGCTGTAGGGCTATAGAGCTATAGGGCTATAGAGCTATAGGGCTATAATGCTATAGGGTTACAGCGCTATTGGGCTATAGGGCTATTGGGCTATAGGGCTACAAGGCTATCGGGCTATAAGGCTATGAACCTATATACCTATAGGGCTATCAAACTATAGGGCTACCGAACACCCGGACACCCAAGCACCTAGGCACCCGAGCGTGCCGCCGAAATCGGCGGCGCACCTAACCTAACCATATGAATCCGCTAGGACCCCGACAGAGACCAGCTCCGATTGGGGAATGTTTGCGCATTTGTGATCATTCTATCTATGGGGCGATTGATCCTCACCGTAGGCATGCCGGAAATCCTCCGTCAAGGCTGCCCGCTTCGGTTACATGTGGCGAATGCAAGCCCATTGCCGCGTTAACGGTAAAGAGTGCGCATATTACCGGGCCCTGGAAAGGGGCACCGAGACCAACACGCGGCTTGCCTCCACCGGGAGCGGATCGCCTGAGTGTGTGGGCTGGTGGCCATCTCTGGGCCGCCTGCGAAGCCCGGCTACTACAACGATCACCGACATCAGGAGCATCTCAGTCGATACTGGTCCTGCTGTCAACATGGAGGCTTCCTGCGCTGGGCCCCTTGTTTTTGCTCGTCGTGCCTGCTGCGGACCAGCAGTCTGGGCCAACGAGGCCCACCTGGAGTGCCGAGGCCAGCACGCCCCGAGCTGCCTCCTCCAGGTCCCAGAGGCTGGGACTTCTGGGTGAGGGGGAGACCCGAAGACTCCTCCCCCTCGTTTGTACCCTCCTCCTCCTCCTCCTCCTCCTCGTCCTCGTCCTCCTCCTCCTCTTTCTCCTCCTCCTCCTCCTCCTCCTCCTCCTCCTCCTCCTCCTCCTCCTCCTCCTCCTCCTCCTCCTCCTCCTCCTCCTCCTCCTCCTCCTCCTCCTCCTCCTCCCTCCTCCCTCCTCCTCCCTCCTCCTCTCCTCCTCCTCCTCCCTCCCAGTGAGGTCAGAACAACTCGCCCAAAACACTGCAAGGTCGGGTTGGGCTTGTGGGGCCGGCGCTGAGGCCCCACCCTGCCCCGCGAGGCGCGCCAGCGGCGGCGCCGGGGACACCGTCCGGGGCGTCCAGCGCCGACCCGAGGGCTCCGCGAAGGGGCCTCCACGATGGCATCGGCAGGAGCTCGGCGAGGGACAACAGCGCCAGGAGGGGGGAGGAGAGGGGAGGAGGGGGGAGGAGGAGGAGGAGGAGGAGGAGGAGGAGGAGGAGGAGGAGGAGGAGGAGGAGGAGGAGGAGGAGGAGGAGGAGGAGGAGGAGGAGGACGAGGAGGACGAGGAGGAGGACGAGGAGGACGAGGAGGACGAGGAAGAGGAGGAGGAGGTAAGGCCTCTGGTTGCACACGGACAGCACCCCCAGGTAGTCCTGGCCTCCTCAACACCCCAACCCTGGGGCGCCGAGCGTCCCATCGGGACAAACATGGTAACGCTCACAAGGCTCTGTCCTCGATCTCCCAACTTCCCAAAGGCAGCCCAGTATCGAATCGATGAGTCGGACCGGCGATCGATATGAATCGGATGGGCGGATATCGGAAGCCGAGTCGGGAAAAGTCGAATCGGTGGAAATCTGCGGGCTAGTTGGCCTCCGTTGAGAAATCGGAGCCCACATCGGAATCCAAAATCGAATCGAATCGGAATCGGAAACCGTCGAAAGCGAATCGAATCGAATCGGAGGAATCGAAACGAGCCCTGCTCCCCCCCCCCAATGCACCCCTCCTCAGACCCACCATTTCCTCGGACCCTCCCAGGATAATATCCTGAGCCTCTCAGGAGACTCTCAGGAACCTCTCAGGAGCCTCTCGGGGGCATCTCAGGAGCCTCTCAGGACCCACCCGACAGCCTCTGTAAAGCATCTTAGGAGCCTCGCTGGAGCTTCGTAGGACCGTCCCAGACCCTTTCGGATCGGTATTGGGTGAGTGCGCGCAGCAGCGCAGCTGAATACACTGTCCCCTCGTACCCGAAGTTGGGAACGAACAGCGGCTGGTCCTCGTAGAGGCGCTGGTATAAGAATACCTTTCGGCCCTGTGACGGACGCGTGGGGAATGCTGTAGCGGTGTGCACGGAGAGCAAGGAGTGGGTAGAGGAGGTGATGGGGAGTGTGAGGTGAGGATCAGGAGGGAAAGAAAGAGGAGGAGGAGAGGGAGAGACGAAGGAAAAGGACGGTGAGGCTATACGGAGTAGGAGGACCAAGCAGGTGGCGGCGGGGTAGGAAACAGATGCTGGGGCGCACGACAGGACGACGACGAGCAGAAAAAGGTAACGGAAGCGGGGGGGGCCAGACAGAAGGGGCAGGTGGAGGAGGAGGAAGAGGTGGAAGAGGGCGCGACAATTTGGCATGAAATAAATCATCCTGAGGGAAGCGGGTCCCGCATCCCAAGTTTCACGCAAAGCTGTCCGTCATTCGGAAAAGAACATTATACGCATAAACAGAAACTGTTGGAGGTCCACGCGGATCTCTTGGATCGTCGCTGTGCCTCCCTCACTGGCACGGAGTGATCAAAGGGCGGCGCAGGAGACGCCACGAATGGGTCCCTCCGCATATCTAAGAAGTCCGCGTGGAGCTCCGAAAGTTTATATCTACGCCGCTGCTTTCTCTGAGACATGGAGTGAAGGAGAGGATGACAGGCGGGGGGAGGATACAGAGATGAGAGTGTACAGGCAGGAGGGGGATGAGGTGGGAGGGAAGAAGGGGGTGGGCGGGGTGAGTGGGGAGGAGGAGGAGGAGGGAAAGGAGGAGCATAAGGAGGAGGAGAAGGAGCAGGATGAGGAAGAGGATGAGGAGGAGGAGGAGGAGGAGGAGGAGGAGGAGGAGGAGGGGGTGGCGCATGGGGAGGAGGGGGAGGGAGGAGGGTGGAGGACCGCCGAGCGCTCCCCAAGATAGGCCCAGAAAGGTCGTCTCGAGAACGGCCTAGGCGACGAAGGCTCGCCCCACCTCTTGTGAACGGCCGGCACCACGACGACGTCCTCCTTCTCGCCCGCCGGATCGTCCACCACTCTCGTGCTTAGTGGGCCATGGACACGACAGGGCTGTTTTTTTTACTGGTTCCGTTTCGCCGTTTTTGTTGCCGGCTCCGACGCCATGTTCTTTTCCGGTTCCGTTGCCGGTTTCTTGACGGCTCGCGCTCCGGTTCCAATCCTGGAGCCGTGTATTTGCCGTTTCCGGTCGCCGGGTGTTTTCCCGTGCCCATTTCAAGAAGCACTTGTTCGAAAAGGGTGAAAAACGGCCCTGCCGTTTCTGGGGCCCACTAAGCTCTCGTGCACCCATCGCTATCCCTCCTGTCGTCGACCAGCTCCACCTTGCTTAGGAGGCAACTCCTGGAACAGTCTTCGCCAGATCGGTACAAGGCTGTTGAGCCCTATGAGGCCAATTAAGAAGCCATTCGAACGTACGAGGCCGGCTTGAGGCCGATAAGAAAACAACTTAAAGGGCATAGGACGGGTTAAATCAAATTCAACGGGATGAAACTGGATTATGCTCGTTTTCGACCACTGGAATACCAGCGCCAAGGTTGAATTAAACCTCCCAGAAATTGCATCCGGAATCATGTGTCGAACACATCCGTTAGGGGTTCAACGTCGAATGCGGTCCATTGGCACGCATTAGATGTTCGAGATTTCTATAGGCTTACTTGAATATCCGCCGATCCGGCGTGTGAGTTTCAAGGAGTCTCAGCTACAGCCTCGAGGCTGAGCCTCAGCCTCTGGGGGGGTTGCCGGGGTGGCTCTGCCGGGGAAGGGGGGGTGGGGGGGGGGAGGGGCGAGTTTCCGGCGGATGCGTTTTTTGACACCCCTCACAAGGATCGTGGCCTCCGAAGGGGTTCCGAACTCGAGTACCACCCCTCCCGCACCAAGAGGCTCCGAGGAGGCCTCCAAGAGGCCCCAAGGGGCGCAGAAGAGGCCCCCAAGAAGCCCCAAGAGGCTCCCAAGAGACCCCCAAGAGGCCCTCTAGTGGCCCCAAGAGGCCCAAGAGGCCCCCAAGAAGCCCCAAGAGGCGCCCAAGAGGCCCCCAGAAGTCCCAGCCAACCACGAGATCCCAACCAGCATCCATGAGGCCTCTGACCCACCACCCACGCACGGTGGCGGGATAGGCCGACGGCCACTGGATCCGCCGCCCCCTGTGGTCTTGCCACAGGGGTGCACGGCGTGCTGGATGTTTCAGGTTTTGGTTTTGGTTCTTTTTCTAAAAGAACTCCCCAGTGGGCTTCGGCCCGTCCCGCCGGCCACCCGCAAGTTTCCGAAAATCCATCTGTCAATGCCTTTGTTGCCCCAACTTGGCCCAAGATGGCCTCCAAGACGGCCAAGATGGCCCAAGATGGCCTCCAAGATGCTTCCAAGACGGCCAAGATGGCCTCCAAGACGGGTAAGATGGCTCCAAGATGCACCCAAGACGGCCCAAGATGGCCTCAAGATGGTCTAAGACGGCCCAAAAGGCCCGCAAAAGGCCTCCAAGACGGCCCAAGAGCCCTCCAAGACGCCCTCCAGGAAGGCCCGAATAGGTTAAAATCATTGATTTTCCTTAGGTTTTTCAAGGATTTTGGCATGTTCTTCGTTTCAGCTCTCCGACGGCCCAAGACGGCCCAAGAGGTCCCCAACATCGCCCCAACAGCACCCAAGAGACCTCCAAGATGGCCCCATGACGGCCCAAGAGGCCCCCAAGAAGGCCCCAAGAGGGCCTCAAGACGGCCCAAGAGGCCTCCAAGACGCCCAAGATGGCCTCCAAGACGGCCAAGATGGCCCAAGATGGCCTCCAAGATGCCTCCAAGACGGCCAAGATGGCCTCCAAGACGGGTAAGATGGCTCCAAGATGCACCCAAGACGGTCCAAGATGGCCTCAAGATGGTCTCAGACGGCCCAAAAGGCCGGCAAAAGGCCTCCAAGACGGCCCAAGAGCCCTCCAAGACGCCCTCCAGGAAGGCCCGAATAGGTTAAAATCATTGATTTTCCTCAGGTGTTTGAAGGATTTTGGCATGTTCTTCTTTTCAGCTCTCCGACGGCCCCAGACGGCCCATGAGGTCCCCAACATCGCCCCAACAGCACCCAAGAGGCCTCCAAGATGGCCCCATGACGGCCCAAGAGGCCCCCAAGAAGGCCCCAAGAGGGCCTCAAGACGGCCCAAGAGGCCTCCAAGACGCCCAAGATGGCCTCCAAGACGGCGTCAGGCAGAACAGGAAGGCCGCAAGGCATCCAAAGAGGCCCCCAAGATGCTTCCAAGACCGCACATGTGGCCCAATATAAACCCAGAGTAGCCAAAAAGGCACTCAAGAGACCTCCTCCTCCATTCCCCCCCTTCCTATCTCTCCTCTCCTCCCCGTCCTCCCCCACGTGTTCCCCGAAGGCTGTAAAGACCGATTCGGGGAACATATGGCCCAATAACTTGGCAGACCTCTGGCCACAGCAGTCGGCCGCATCGGCGCTTCCGAAAGGGCAGGGGGCGGCGGTGATTCGCCGTAGGCGTCTTCGATAAATGCTGAGTGAGAGGAGGGGAGGGAAAAAGAGAGGAGGGACGAGGGCGAAGAAGGATCACATCAGTCGGAGCGCCCCGGATCGGCGGCACTGGCCGAAGGCCACTACAATACCAGAATTCAGCTCGATCTAGCTTAGTTGACATCGACTTACATAGGTGTGCCGTCAGTGTATATGGCTTGACCCCCCGAATCACTGGAAAGGGGTCGTCAAATCCCCTTCGAAACCCATGGGGGCCATCTCTGCCATCCTGCTGCACAATGTCATGCTCGAGGCCGCTCGAGGGTACCTCACAAGGCCTATAAGGCTGCCCAGACGCAAGAACACTGCGGTGGAAGTGTGGATGCGGCCCCACACAAGCTCAACACATTCCCAGTCATCTGATATTGTGACATAAGCACGCAGTCGTTCTGTACTATCGAATCACATTCAAGCGTAATCAGGCCTCTGCCAAACTTCTCCTGAAGCGACCCGTGATCTCCTCCTCCTCCTGCTCCTCCTCACAACGCCAAGCAGAAGTCTCTGGAAGTATCTGGAGTTCTCCAAAGGCCCGGAAGTAACGAAACGTCCAACCAGCGCGGCTGAAAATTGGTGAAACCAGACCACCAATGGATAATGTGTTCAGTCCGCGGGCCCCGTAACGGGCTCTCGACCCCATCGCTGGGACAATTTTCGTCCACGATGGCCACAGGGCCCGAGAATAAACAAAAATAATCACGAGTCTTATTTTGATTGAAAGACATTCGCGATAAATCCCCATTGCTGGGGAGCCCTCACCTCAGTAATTAGCGTCACGCTTTGCGCATCCTCAGACAAGGACCCTTCTCCAAGGCGCCGCGGGCGCAAACTGTGACTCACCGGCCCCCAGCCCTCCCGGCATCGCCCATGGTCGCCAAGGACCAAAGGAAAAATACACATGCTTGAGGAGGCAGAGTGAGCCGGCATCGAACAGGGAAATCGGATCGAACCGAAAAATGCGTCGGACTAGGCTTCCGTGGCAGGAAATCGAAGCAGCATCGGATCGGGCGCCCAAACATGCACATGAGTGCCAACGCCATGGAAGCACAGAGCCGCATCGGACCGTCAAGACATCCGAATCGAGCCAGATGGGGCCCGCCAGAATCGATATCGCACCCGATGGGCTCAGGTAGCAATGGGCCCCATAAATGGCGCCCGAATTATCCGGGGTAACTCGGGCCCGGTAATTCGGGTTTGGATTCTCGAAAAACGAACCCGACTGAGCCCTGACCCGACTTACCCCTGATGACTTGGGGCTCTGGACGCCCGAATTATCTGGGGTAACTCGGGCCGGGGGCAACTCGGGTTCGGATTCTCGAAAAAACGAACCCGAGTTAGCCCTGACCCGATCCACCCCTGAAGACTCGGGGTTCTGGCATAACGTCACCCGCACCGTCCCCCCCGGCACCGCCCACTTGTCGCGAGGGTCGAGGATATTCTGACCCGGGTCAATCCAGACCCGCGTCAGCAGGAAACCAAAAACTGCAATGCAGGAAAAATAACTGCAGCGAAGGTTTTCGCAAACCCGGGTCAGCCAATAGGCGCGGCCGCCTCGCGGCCACGAGCGGCTCGCCAACCCGGGTCAGCCAGAGGGGGTCTTCGCAGGATCCTGCAGGATCCGGCGCCCTGGCTGACCCCCGTCTGCACTGACCCCCGTCTCGAGGCTCCCGAGAGGGTATGGGAGCGCAAGCCCGGCCCCTGGGCCCATGGAGGGGCCCGCGCGCACCGGAAACCGTGGACGAACTTCGGAGGCCGCCTCGCCTTTCTTCGAATGGGGCCCAGGGGCACACCAATACATAGACACACGCGTCCCAGGAGGCCCCATATTCTTCCACATTTTTTCTACAGCTCCGTCTTCCCCCCCCCCCCCCCACACACTTCCCCCCTTAGTTCTCGTCTTCTCGGGGGAGATCGACGACTCTTTGTCTCTCTGTGTGTGCATGTTTCCTCCCACTCGCCGGCTCGGCCGCTCGCTTTCGGTTAACCGGCCCACCGCTTTCGGTTAATTCGTCTTCGGCCCACCGCTTTCGGTTAATTCGTCTTTGCGCGCCCCGCTCCGACTGGACTCGCCGCTGGCGCGCTCGCTTGCGGCCGCTGACTGAAAAGTTCGTATGTTTCCCCCTCCTGACCCATGGCGCACGGGGGGATTTGGCGGCGCGCACAAGGGGGTGGAGGGAGGGGGGATCGCTTCTTAGAAGGAGGCTGCTTCTTAGGAGGCGCCGGCCTTACATCTACACATAGGGCCCGCACCTTCTAAGAAGTAGGGGTCCTTCTAAGAAGCCCTCCCCCCTCCCCCCACCCCCCTTTGCGCGTGGCTGAGGGATGGCGCCAGGGGTCGGGAGCGGCCAAGAGGGGGGTGTCCAAGAGGGGGGGGGTGCAAATCATGACCGGCGGCATGTGCGCGGCCCAGCGGGGGGGCCGGGGACGTAATGAATCAAGAAGAGGCGCCGTGAGATCTGGGGGATATCATGGCCCCCGCCATGATATCCCCCCCCCCTAGTCATCACCCCCCCTCCTTTCCGCCCCCGATGGCTGAGGGATGGCGCCAGGGGGGGGGGAGCTGCGGGGGGGGGGGGGGGGAGAGCTGCGGGAGAGGAGGAGGAGGAGGAGGAGGAGGGGGAGGAGGAAGGAGGAGGGAGGAGGGGAGGAGGAGGAGGAGGAGGGGGAGGAGGAGGAAGAGGAGGAGGAGGAGGAGGAGGAGGAGGAGCCTCGGGCCCCTCCTGGGGCGCGTCTGGATCAGGAGCTCGGGGCGGATCCCGCCGTGGCGACGCGGGGCTCCCAGGAGACCTAGCTTGACGAGCGCGCTCCACCACGGGGCAGTTTTTCATACGTGGGACGTGTAACAATATAGGATGTAGAATTACGAATAAAAGTACGCATAAACTCATAATTGTTTTTAATACAAAGTCCCTGCATTTGTAGTACATGATCCGCACGCGGAGCATGTATTACAAACGGCACTGCACTTGCAAAGTAACTACTCGCAAATGGCCTGGATCCCCCGCGGGGGATCTACGAAAAATCACATCAAAGCAGACAGGTGCTTTTGTCGGACGTTTGCGAGTGGGCACTTTGCGAGCAGTGGAACGCGCTCGGCGTTCAAAGGCGAAGATGAGACAGGGCGGCGGTGCCTGCAGAAAAAAACAGATACAGCATCGCGAATGACCACGGCTGGAGCCCCAGACCCATCATCTTGCTGCAGCTTTTAGCCCCGCCCAGCGCTCAAAAGAATGCAACGCCCCGATCTCCGGGGATGTTGCAGACCCCCGACATCGTGATTTGCTTCAGGACGTGGACCCTAGAAGTGCTCGATCCATTCTCCAGGATCAGCTGCTCATCCTGAGTCGGTTGTTGACGGTGCTAGGGTCCGGTGAGAGCCCCTAGAGGCCGAACCCAGCAAAAGACCGCCCCTTTGTTCGCCACGAATATGTATGCACAGACACCCTCCGACGAACTCTTGCATGTACCTGTCATGGAAGGCGGCGGTGTACAGAATCGCTGGCTCTCGGTGGCGACTTATGCACCGCCACCCGTCCCCGAGGCCCAGGAACAATCCATTGGAGGGTGTCCGTGGATATCTTTTTGTGGCGGACGTTGCAAGTAAGTTTAGGTCGGGCATGTACCCCCACGGGCGGATTCTGCACGAAACGATATAGCATAGCCCAAGCAAATGCCAACATAGCAAAACAAACTAATCAACCCTTCGCCCCCTGACTATGCCTGACCAATGTTGAACATTCCTCCTGTAGAGGCACGTGCCCGCCTTAAGACCAAGGTCATTTTGGGTGACCCAAAAGGGGGTCCAGCTGAAGGGGGTGGTGCAATCTATGTAGGGCAATTGTACTGCAAATGTGTTTCGCCGGAGAACTGTATTGCATTGTATTGCGAGTCATGTAATGCACGCGAAAAGCCAGCAATGCATCTGCGCTCTGGAATGTCTTGCACGCCCCAAGCGTATTGCAACCCCTCGAACCTATTGCACCACACCTATTGCACCACCCCCTTGTCGTTGGACCCCCTTTTGGGATAACCCGAGGTCATGACCCGAGGGGATGCCGGGCCAGGGGAGGGCGCCCGCCAGCTCCGCTCCCCGCCAGCAGCGGCGCACGTGCTCGCCATCGCAGCGGGCGTCGTGCAGCAGCACGCACTCGGCGTCCGCTCCGCAGGCGGCCTCGAGGACGAGAACGAGGCCACGACGACGCGGAGCCAAGACGAGGACCACACCGGGGGAGCACACATCGAGAACCTCTGAGATCCGGCGGTATACGGAGGATGCCTCGGGCGCCGCGGCCTCCTCAAAGCGTTCCGGGAGGCTCTGTGAGAGCGTTCCGGAACGCTCTGGGACGGACTTATCCTCACCCTAGCCCCGCCCGACATGACACGGTTGGCTCAGGGTGCGCTCCTAACTTCACTCGCTCCTGCAGCCCGTGAGAAGCATGAGGAAAGCATGGGGAACCCCAAGGAAACTTGGAACAGACTTGCTATCATTACAGTCGGACTTGATTGGACAGGACGCGCGAGAGGACACGGACACAAGACCCTTCCAAGGGCCACATTGCCACAGGAATGTAGGAGGCATGGGTCGCGAGATACAGGACACAAAGGTACTCTTGATTTGGCAGGGCCGACATACTAATCAGGGCCGACTGTAAAGGAGCAAGAAAACGGCATGAACCACGAAACTTTGGGAGGTCCGCGCGGAATTCTTGGCTCTGCGCTGGATCCCCCCTCCCTGGAGCGCGGAGCGCGCCAGGGGCGGCGCCGCCAGGGGGGGCCCGTCTCTCACTCGAGAAACCCGCGCGGAGCTCCAAGCGTTTATGTTTGCTCTCCTCCTCCTAACTCCTCCTCCTCCTGCTCTCCTCCCCCTCCTCCTCCTCCTCCTCCTCCTCCCTCCCCCTTCCTCCTCCCTCTCCTCCCCTCCTCCTCTCCTCCCTCCCTCCTCCTCCTCCTCCTCCTCCTCCTCCTCCTCCTCCTCCTCCGCCTCCTCCTCCTCCTCCTCTGCGATCGACCCCCAGAAACTCAACCCACTCGCGGGGACCGGCTTTCCTCCCGAGTCGTTCTTGACGGTCCTCGGACCCAGCGAAGACCCGAGAGCGCGGAACACAACGCGAAAACCTCTTGTCCTGACTCGCTCGATCCGCTGGAGCACTCCGGGCCTCCTGCCCTTCCGAGCTCGCGCCCCAGAGTAGGGAGCCCTCCTCCCTCCTCCCTCCTCCCTCCTCCCTCCTCCTACGCGCCCAGCTATGTACATGAACACGGCCCCTCGATCCGCGAGACCTGCCGCGCGATGCGAACACTCGCGCAATGCACACTCTCGAAACCAGCGTGGATTCATGTACGTGCACGTCCTTTTGTCGCTCCTGACAGAGGGTGGAGGGAGAAGGGGCAGGCCTTCTCAACAGTCGGGCCGGGCGAAAGGGGGGGATAGCAAAAGGGGGGTGAGAATCAGCTGCTGATTTTCCTAACGTTTCCCGGCGCCGGGAGGCGCCCATGTATCGAGGAATGGGCCCGGCGGCGGGGCCGAAACCAGCTGCATGCAGCAGATTTCGTACCCCCCCCCCCTTCTCTATCGCCCCCTTTCGTTCGGCCCGAAACAGGCTCGAAGTCCCCGGCCTCCTGAGAAGCTCTCGAAGCCTCCGACACCCCCAACAAAAACCTCTCAGAAGGCGAGAAGGCTCCTGAGAAGTCCCGCCGCGTCCCGAGAAAGCCCTTCTCACTTCCCCACCTGGGCGTGCCGCCGAACATCGCTCCAAATGGGTCCCCGGAACCCTCCCAGGCTCCACCAGACGCGGCTTCTCGCCCCGGATATCGAACTCCAGGGGCCTCTGGGGGCCCGAAGACGGCCCCCAGAGGCCGACACCGAGGAAAACCAGCCGAACCTCGCACCTGGAAGCGTCCCAGAAGGGGTAGGGGAAAATGTGGTCGGAAGATCGCGCCGCATCGCCGATTCTTCACCGATGCCTCGGCGATGCGCGCGCCGGCGATGCACCGGCGATACACTGGCGACGTCGGCGATGCATCGGCGACGTCGGCGTGGAGAAAACCGGGCTCCATACATACCGAGGCGCATCGCCAATGCATCGGCGATGCAGCGCGATCCTCCGACCCAATCTACCCCGACCCCATCTAGGAGGCCTGGAACTAAAAGAATAACAAAAAGCGTAAACATGAACTTGTGGCGCTCCGCGCGGAATTCTGGATCTGCGCGTGACCCCATCCATAGCGCGCGGAGCGCGTCAGGGGCGGCGCCGGAGGCGCCGCTGGGGGGCCCCAGCGCGGATCCTAGAAATTCTCGCGGAGCGCAAGTAACTGTCCGCCTTCTTTGACTAGAACCTTGAACCTCGAACCTTCTTCGACTCGAACCTTGTGCTTATGTTCATGTTTATGTGTTTCCTTCTTCGACTAGAACCCCAGAGATCCGATGTCGTGATTTTTCAATGCGCGGTCCCCAGAAGTCTCGACCCATTCCTCAGGACCTTTTTTTCATCCTAAGCCGTTTTTTGCCGGTCCCGGGGCCCGGCGAGGGCCCCTATGGAGGCCAAAAACTGCGAAAAGCCCCCGTCGTGATTTTTTCAATAATGACATTGGATCTCTGGGAACCTCGAACCTCGATATTCGAACCTCGCCGCCGATGCAGAGCCTCGGCCGCGCCCAGGCTCGCCGGCGCGCTGTGGCACGCGCCCACCCAGGCGCCGCTGCTCACCCGTGGGCCGTCGCGGAAGGCCAGCGGCGGTCCCGCCGGGGGCCCCCCAGCGCCGGGCGCCCGGGCGGCGGGCGGCGCCGCGGCATCTCGCCCCATCCTCCTGTTCCTCCTCCTCCTCCTCCTCTTCTTCCCTCCTCCTCCTTCTCCCTCTCCTCCTCCTCCTCCTCCTGCTCCTGCTCCTCCTCCTCCTCCTCCTCAATTCAATCCTCCTCCCCCTCCTCCTCCTCCTCTTCTTCCTGCTCCTGCTCCTGCTCCTGCTCCTGCTCCTTCTCCCTCTCCTCCTCCCCCTCCTGCTCCTGCTCCTGCTCCTCCTCAAGCCCATCCTCCTCCTCCTCCTCCTCCTCCTCCTCCTCCTCCTCCTCCTACTCTTCTTCTTCCTCCTGCTCCTGCTCCTGCTCCTGCTCCTGCCCTGCTCCTGCTCCTGCTCCTCCTCCTCCTCCTCTTCCTCCTCCTCCTCAAGGGTCCCCTTCCCTCTCCTCCTCCTCCCCTCCTCCTCCTCGCTTCCCCCCCCCCTCCTCCCTCCCTCGTCCTTCCCTCCTCCTCCCTCCCTCCTCCTCCTATCCTCCTCCTCCTCCCTCCTCCTCCGCCTCCTCCTCCTCCTCCTCCTCTCCTCCTTCCCCTCCCTCCTCCTGCCCTCCGCCTCCTCCTCCTCCTCCTCGTCCTCTCCTCTTCCTCTGCTTCCTCCTGCTCCTCTCCTTTCCTCCTCCTCCTCCTCCCTAATCACAGATTCACCTGCTCCAGCCCCTCCTCCCTGGAGTCCTCCCCCCCCCACCCGTCTAAGAGACAACTCCCAAAGAAGGGCGCGAGAGGCCAAAGACGTCCCTCCCGAGAACAAGCAACACAACAAGAAAACAGATGCTGGATGTGGGGCTCCACTTCTCCACCTGACGCCTCCAGCTCCCCCACCGACTCAACCTGCTTCTCGCCCTTCTCTCTCTCTCTCTCTGTATCTCTCTCTCCACCATGCATCCTGCCTCCTCTATTCCCCTTACCGCCGTCGTGCTGCCACAAGGAGTGGGGTGCAGTAAGGAGTGCACGCTCTCCTGCCCACTCCTGGCCTCGACCAGGAATGCGTTTCCCGAGCCAGGTCCACGGAACAACCTCAATACCAGAGCCCCACCTGAACCAACAGTGGTCCGCATCTCCGCTCCCACTCCGTCCTCTTGCACCGCCCCCCCTCCCGTCTCCCTGCTTCCTCCACCCTCCACCCTCCACCCTCCACCCTCCACCCTCCTCCTCCTCCACCCTCCACCCTTCACCCTCCTCCTCCTCCTCCTCCTCCTCCTCCTCCTCCTCCTCCTCCTCCTCCTCCTCTTGTTTGACGTTGCGCAAACAAACTTGAGGCGTCCACCAGCTCCTCCTCCTTCTCCTCCTGCTCCTCCTCCTCCTCCGCCCGTCTCGTGCAACCTCCCAGACCTCTTCCATCCTACGGCTCCGCCCGCTCTTCCGACTCCTGCGCTCTGCCTGCTCATCCCGCTCCCCGTGCTCCTGCTCCTGCTCCTCCCTGGCTCTCCCCCATTCCCTTGCGGACTGGCCGCGCACTCCATCGCTCTGGACCTCCTCCCTCCTCTCGCAGAGCCCTCCCTCCTCGGCCTTCCCTCCGTCCCCCTGGAGGCTCCGAGGGTGCGAGAAAAACATGTGAAAACCTGAGACGACGCCCGGTCCCCGAAGACTACGGCCATGATTGAGACGACGACGACGACGACGACGACGACGACGACGACGACGACGACGACGACGACGACGACGACAACAGCGACAGCGCCGACGACGAGGACGACGACGATGACAACGACGACGGACTGGCCCCCCAATAACATATGTCCGAGGCCGAGGGGTCCGCCTGCCCCGTTCTCCTCCTCGCCCACGCCCCCGTTTCCCTCCTCCTCCTCCTCCCCCTCCATCGAAGCCGTGCTCATATTCGAATCGACGCCTGGGACCCGCCCCGCCCCCCCCCCTCGCTCCCCACTGCAACGGGCACGCCACGATTCGCGCAGGTGCCGTCTGTGGACGACGAGCCACTCCTGGGCACTCCAAGACGGTGCCGGAACGAACCGCAGCGTGACCAGCCTCCTCTCCCCCCCTCCCCCCTCTCGGGGGCGCGCAGACGTGGATTAGCGATCCATGGATGTGGCGCGCGGTCGCCAAATCCATGGATCGGGGGAGGTGCCCTCCCCAGAATGCGGCCGGTGCCGCCTCGTTCGCCGGCGGAATTCCGCGATTTCCCATGGAAGCGGGAACCGTCGCTCCTCCACGCCCCCTTCATCCATGTTTGCGATCGCCTGAAAAACAGTGCCAGAACGAATCGCAGCGTGACCAGGCTTCTCCCACTCATCTCGGCGGCGGGCCCAGGGGGGAAATGAGAAGGAGCAGGCCTTCTCAGAAGGCCGCGGGACTTCTTAGAAGTCCGGGGGACTTCTGAGAGGTCTCCTTAGCCTATTTCGAATACAGACTGAACTTCTCAGAAGCCCTCTCAGAAGTCCGGAAACTTCTCAGAAGCCTCGGAAGTCCCACCCCTTCGCATTTCCCCCCCGCGCCCGCCGCCGATCATCTCCCCCCTCACCCACCCCTTACCCCGCGGTCACGCCCGTCAGTGCCAGGGGAGGACAACACGTTCCCATCTCTGCCCACCCTCTCCCCCGATCGGCCCTCTACTTCCCTCTCATATGCCCTGCCGATCCTGCCCGAGTGCCCCCATGCGCCTCCAGCGCTCCTCCTCATCCTCATCCTCTCCCAGCTCCTCTTCCTCCTCCTCCTGCTCCTCCTATTTTCCTCCTCCTCCTCGTCCTCCTCCTCCTCCTCTCCCAGCTCTTACTCCTCCTCATCCTCCTCCTCCTCCTCATCATCCTCATCCTCCTTCTCCTGTTCCTCCTGTTCTTCTTCTTCTTCTTCGTCCTCCTCCTCCTCCTCCTCCTCCTCCTTCTCCTCCAGGTCCTCATACTTCTCCAGCTCCCACTCCTCCTCCTCCTCCTCCTCCTCCTCCTCCTACTCCCCTCCTCCTCCTCCTCCTCCTCCTCCTCCTCCTCCTCCTCCTCCTCCTCTTCCTACCGCCCCTGCCGAGAAGCCCAGCCTCATCCTGCTATTGGCGGGGAGAACAAACTATACCGATACCGCTACTCCGCCTGCCTCCCACTGGGGTCTGACCAGAATTTCGAGGCGACTCCAGCGGTGGCGTCGAGGGCCTCCCATGCGGCCCAAGAAGGCGAAAAGAAAGGAAGGAAGAGTAGCGGCATCGAGACCCTCTCCTACTCAGCGCTGAGGCCCTCGTGCTCTTCCCCCCGCTCTCCTCCTCATCATCCGCCCTCCCCGCCCTGACAGGAACAGGTGCAGGCGGCACCACCACCTATGCGATACGCCTGGGAGGGTCCTCCTGGTGACGTGTGGTTCAGCATTCTCGGTCGAACCGTCCCGCGCCCCCAGCTTGGGGAGGCATCGTGGGCACCCCTCGCTGGAGGTGGCCCCAGGGCGCGATGCCATGATGCCACTGTGCGTTCCAAGGAACTATGGAGCATCCAACGGCCCTCGTTTTCGCAACCCGTGTGGACAATTCGGGATTCTCCTCCTCCTCCTCCTCCTCCTCCTCCTCCTCCTCTTCTTGGAGCTCCATTGAGGGCTTCTTGGGCCGTCTTGGGCCGTTGGGGAGGCTGCCTGGGCCCTCGGGGGGCCCCTGGAGTCCCAAGACTCTTGGGCACACTTGACAACCTTGGGACGCATCCTCACCACTACCACTCGCCTTTCTCTCCTCTGCCTTTCCTTCCTCCGACCCTGACCCTCGTGCTCAGCTGCTCCACGTGCCGGCGGCGCGCACCAGGGGGTAAGGGGGGAGCAGGGAAGGCTTCTCAGAAGGAGGCTCGGGGATCTTCTGACCAGGGTCAATCCAAACCCGGGTCAGCAGGGAACCCCAAAAATGCAATGCAAGAAAAAAAACTGCAACGCAGGTCTTCGCAAACCCGGGTCAGCCAATATGCGCGGCCGCCCCGCGGCCACGAGCGGCTCGCTAACCCGGGTCAGCCAGAGGGGGTCTTCGCAGGATCCTGCAGGATCCGGTGCCCTGGCTGACCCCCGTTTGCATTGACCGCCGTCTCTTGAGCCCCGAGAGGCTGCCTCTCAGAAGGCACCGGCCCTACATCCATAGTCAAGGCCCGCGCCTTCTGAGAAGAAAGGGTGCTTCTAAGAAACTCTCACCCCTCCCCCTACCCTCCTCTCTGCGCGTGGCCGACCGTGCCCCGATCGGGGGGGAACGAGAGGGTAAGATAGCAAAGGGCAGGGTAAAACAAATCAGCTCACCTAGCTAACTGTCCTGGCGACTGCTGGCGCCGGGACGCGCCTGTGTATCGAGGGATGGGTCCGGCAGCGAGGCGGAAACCAGCTGCATGCAGCAGATTTCGTACCCTCCCTTTTCTTGGGCGTCGCTCACGAGGGATGGGGTCGGAATAGATGGGGTCGGGGGATCGCACCGCATCGCCGATACATCGCGATGCATCGGCGATGCACTGGCGATGCATCGGCGAAGTGGGCGATGCATCGACGACATGGGCGATGCATCGACGACGTCCGCGTGAAGGACATCGGGCTCCACATTGAGCAGCATCGGCGATGCATCGGCGATGCGGCGCGATCCTCCGACTCCGTCTACTCCGACCCCATGGAAGAGGCCTAGACTTACGCGACACCTTTTTTAGAAGAAAAAAGACGGCATACACATAATTTGTTGGCGCTCCGCGCGGATTTCTCGGATCTACGCTAGACCCCCTTCCCTGGCGCGCGAAGCGGCGCCAGAGGCGCCGCCAGGGGGCCCAGCGCGGATCCAAGAAATCCGCTCGGAGCGCCAAAAATTTAAGTGGCGTTTTTCCTTGCTCGAATTCAGGAGGCCTGGACTTACGCGACGCCCAATTCCCTGAGCAGGGACCTACCGCCCCAGCATTCATATAGGCCTACCACAAAATGCTCTTAGAACCCAAACATGTTCCAAGAACAAATCGTTTTTTAGAACATCAACCGGATGTGTTCAAGCAAGACAGTCACAGCCAGATATGTTCTAAGAACATTTTTCGTGCAGGCCACAACAGGTTCTTAGACAATTATCTGGCGGGCCT